ACAGTGTGATGAACATGTCTTTCAACAAAAGACTGTGGATTCCTCCTTTCACCACGTCGCCTTCTAACCCTGGCATGACCATCGTGCATGCCTAAACAAAATCGAGACTCGTCACTAAAAACTACTGTTCCATTCCTGATCCCAGAGTGACCGTTATCTGCACCACTTAAGGCGATTACGTCGGTATTCTCGAGTTAAAGGGAGGACCCAGTGTGGCCGGTATGAAAACAAGCCAAAACTTCACTTCGCATGCCAATAGGTCTTCCGTGTTCTGCAAACCATTCATTTGCAATGGACCTGGTAGTGGAGAAACGGTCCCTTAAGGCCAATAATCTTAGGCGGCGATCTTCACGGTCTGTTGTTCTACGGCGGCGTCCAGTGCCCCTTGCTCTTTGCGTACGGCCTTCTCGAAGCCATGCCTGACAACACCTAACCACAGTGTCTACACTTCTTTGCACTCTAACTGCAATTGCCCGAAAAGAAAGTCCAGCTTCCCGAAGTCCCACTATACGGCCCCTATCAAACTCACTAAGTTGACGAAATCGTACAGGTCTCCGTACTCTAGGCATCGTAACCGATCGTAAAGGATGTCAAGAACCAAAATCCGCCAACGTTGATTCTTCACTGCGGCTGAAATATTCATTTTTAGAGCGTTAGTGAATTAAAAAAAGCAGTATAAAAACCGGAATGTCCAAGTGATAAGGCTGAAAATTTTTTCACTTGTTATTTACAGTATGATAAATACATTCACCAACTTTTATTAAAATAAAACCATTTAAACTGGGTGTTCGGATTTATATGTCACTTAGTATATCTTGCACAGTTCACAATCAGAAATGGGTTGTAACATGGGTGATATTATGTGATTGTTTTCATATTTAAAAAAGCGAGAATTCAACATTTCGGAATAGTTATCCCAGCCAATGTAATATTATAATAATTATATCATTTTGGGGATATTTTAGAGGCTTTTATTTATAGATAGGTCGTGCTTTTCTCGCTTCGAGGCGTTTAGCAGCGAGTTCTCGCGAATTTTTAAATACTGTTTCATCAGTGACATATAAAAGTTAAAAATAGAGAGACCTGCCCGCCACATAAACCGCTAAACTTTACGCGCTGTCATAACTCAATTTTCCTGAAATTCTCGCGACTTTGCATTCAAATTATTATTCGGATCATCAGAACTTGTTCGCCAAATCTTTAAATTTGTAGTTCTGCTAGTCAGTCATTCCTCTCGGTCAAATACTGCTCTGTCAAGTGAGTATTGTTCAAAGTTGTCTCCCAGAGACTCGAGGACACATACAATGAATGAATACATCAGATTGCTGAATTCGCATACGTAGTTTATCGACTGTGTTGACCTCAGGTATACACTTAATATATCATTTTGCCCTAAACAAAAATGAAATCACCAAGGATGTTGGAAAACGATCTTCATGCACTCGCGAAGCCTCGGTAGCACTCACCATAAATAAAATTGCTGCATGATTGTGCCATTTTCGTTTTGTTTTTTCAGAACCGATGTGTAAAAGTTTTGTTTACCAACGCGACGAGCGACTGGATAGAGTACTTATCCGCATAGATGTTCACGTTTGATCTGATCCAGGTGTAGGACCAAATTAGGTTCTGTTTAGGTTTGCTTTATTTTGAGGAGCCTACTTGGTAATGTTAAGACTTTGGTGTACATCTTACTAGGAAGAACTGCTCATTTTTCCAAGTTCTATACTACACCCTGTATAATTTTCTCGATAAATCTAACTTTAATAAGCGCGACGTGAAGCCAGTGTCATACAAAAAGCCAAATTGAAGGAATAATAAAGCACTTTTTAGTTATTGATGTGAAACTTTTAAAGCACTGAAGCCTTACTGCAAAAATAAAAATATTGATAAGACTCCAGTTTGTCGAACTAACAATTTGCAAAAAATTATCCGCAACTGTCGCCCTCGACCTACCAAACCAAGATAATCTTTTTGAAAAAAGCTTTTGTAGAACTAGCAATTGTAAAAATGAACTCAAATATCATGTGCTTCACACTTGTTGTTTGGCAACCATGTGTGTGCACGTACGTTTTTATATTATTCGTGTTCGTGTGTAATTTAATCCAGCAAAGTGCGTCTGCGAGCTGCACATTTGCACATACACCGTAGCTGGGTAAAGTGAATTTGTTTTCACTTATATGCTCGTACACCTCCGGTAATTGCTCATGTCTGGGGTTGAGTTACAACGATTACCTCAGAATCAGCGGTCACCGCTGTGGTTGGATCAATCTTGCTCTATGTCGAAAACTTAGTTCATATCGACAGGTTACGTGACTAGCAAGGACTCTGCGTTAGTAGTTCTTGAAATTCATTCAGTCAAAAGATTAATTGTGGAAGTAGGCCGGACATAAAGTGAGAGTGGGGGCCTTTTAAATATATGATTGAGTTATTCAGCAGTTACAACTGAGGTTTAACCATTGATTGTGCGTGTCAGCACTCTATTTTGAGGTTATGTTATAAATATCTATTTGCATCAAATTCTTCATACTTTTGGTTTATATCATCTGTTATATAGCCAGAAATTTCCTACAATTCAAGAAAAAAGATAATTTGAAGGAGAGAAAAGACTATGAAATTCAAGGAGGCTCCTACATTCACGAGCACCATCTGCTGAGGTAACGGGGTGGTAAAAGAGAAAATGATGACTGCGGGTGCATACCAAGGTAAATTTTTATAATAACAGAGTCGGATTTCGATTAGCGATCTAGAATGTTAATCGTTTCCTATTTTGGTACTCAGCAAGTGATCATTTAGTATTTTTCTCCCCTTGTTACTGTTCGTCGATATTGTGTTGTTGAATTGTTGTTGGTGAGATTGTTCTTGAGTGCCTTTTTTTATCAAGGCTGATAATGGACAATAAAGGGTCATATGCAGGTCAACTCTATAATCGCAAAATACATTGGGGTAAGCGAATAAATTATTGCAAGAAGAGGTCATACCATGGAAGATGTGCTGCAGCTGTAGTGAGCCACAATACCGAGCGGCCTGTATATGTGGTCTAAGTACATTTGCGTTCTAAGCTTAGTCCAACCTCGCTTATCGCTAAGATGGAACAAAGACTCAAACGCAAGAATCTTGAAAAGAAACTCAGACCAAAAAAAGCAGATATAAAAATAACTAACAATTCGGATAACAATTCCAAAAAAATGAATAGTTTTATGGCGAATTCGATCAAAATCTGACATAAACTACAATATTTTTTTATGAGGTTACCATACTACTTAAAATTTTCCGGAGAGCCAAGCTGTCATCTTGGAGCATTAATTCTAACTTAAGAATTTTAGTTTTCCAAAACTTCTTTAAATTTGCATATAATAGTGTTAAAAATTCGTCAGAAAAAAATAGAATCCCAAAAATATATCTGCCAGGCTCTCAGTCGGGACTACATAAGTATTAATCTTATACATTTATAATGAACTATTAAAGTCCAAATGACATTGTACCATAAAATCAGACCAAAGCAAAAAGTGGCATAATATCTGCATATACATAGACATCAGAAACGCTATAAAAACCGAAGTACCTGAAAATGTTTTTTTGTGACAAAATGATGAGACCCCTGAAATTTCCCTCCGCAGTTTTTAAGCAGATATAGCAGCTTAACTTGGTAGTCAAAAACATAAAACCTTTTCATTTCCTTCATTTGGGGGCGGAATCTGGCCCAAATTCATTTTCAAAAGCTAATTTGTTCAGTGTTGTCAAATAGTGGAATGCTATACAAAACAAAAACGTGCCTAAAATTAAATATTTTAATTGGTAAGGATAGTATCATTTGATTTCTGTAGGCTGAGCATAGACAAAGTTGCTCATTACAGGTAGGTGGGTGATTAACAATATGTCAGGTTGAATTAATTAAAAAATACCGTATGGCCTATACCTTTTCGAATTTGATATTAATCTTGCAAATTTATACAAATTCGAATAAAGACGCTATATTATGATTATTGAGTACGGGCTTAAATATCATTGTCGCACTAAAAGCAGCAAAAATACGCTGCTACTCAAATATTTTATTTTGACTTCATAAGCCTGATTCGGTTTGATTTCCAGGTTAGTCAACAAGATTGGGGTTGAAAAGTTGTCCAATAGGAAATAGGAAATAATTAAATATGGCCTAAAAACTATTGTTGGCAAATTCAAGGTTTGATTTATTTCAGGATTTGAGTATACTTTTTAGTAAGTTTGTGTATTTTTACAGGATAGATAATAAAGATACGGTGACGAGTTGGATTTTATCGATTTTTTGAAATTGAAAAAGTTATTGAAACATACTTTGTGGTGAATGAAAAAACGACGAGGTGCGTATAATTACGAAATTCGTAATTTTTGATTTTTTAGTAGTTATTTTCATATTTTGATGAAAGCCTAGTAGACATCATTTTAAAGGTAATAATAAAAATAAACACACCAATGCCCTTATTATGTGGTAGATACAAATGTTTTTAATGGAATAAATGTATGTTATTAATAATTATAATGAAAATCTGTTAAAATGTCGCCCCACATAATCTCAAACGCACTAGCGCGCTACCTGTGGGGAGGGAATTCTAGAATAAAAAGACAACAGCTCATATGTAAGCGTAGTTACATATTCTCTTTTTGGACATTTATTGTACAGCTAAAAATTTAAACCTACACTAATGCCAAGAAAAGTGCATAAATTGTCGTGTACAATTCTTAGGAGAATGTCAATCACACAATAACAAACATGGCCCTAAAATAGTTGTTTTGTGGTAGCATTTAGTTTCAACTGATTTTGAAAATTGTCCTTCTAGTAATAAAAATTCGATAAAACCCCACTCGAGCTCAGATCCGAGGGACGCAGTCACAAATACAATACAATACAATACAAAAGCTAGTTAAATTCTTATAAAAATCACATAACAATTTTGTACTACAAACTATTCGTAGCAGGTGACAAAAAACATAAAAAAACATATTTGTCACACTTTTGGACATACCTTTTGAATAACCAGCGGCGTAGCAAAATCCTTGCCGCCCTGCAGCCGGAACCCTAAATTCGGGGAGTCTCCCTTGTTGATCCTAACCGTAACCTGAGATGCCATGCCGCACGTATAATCGTGTGTCACTTGTTTATCGCACGCGCCGGCCGCACCGTTGCGATCTTCGTTTGTTTGAGAATGTGCGGGTCGCTCGTTCGCGCGTATCAGCCTCGTTCCGTGGTGCCGCGGAAGACGAACAGAAGAGGATCGAGTGTGCTATGGCAGGCGTAGCGCGTGCAGTCGCAGGATCGCAGCAGGCGCTGGACGTCTGGCGCCCGGGGAATCCGGGGATGGGCGCGCAAGGGGGCCGTCAGGGTATTTATAGACCGCGGGGTACCGGCCACGGACAGAGCCGCAAATTGCGAATATCTGAGGAAAGGCAGCTGCCCATACACCTGCTGTATTTTGCGGGAATCTGAATACAAACGAATCGGACATTATATACTAAGTTACATATAAATCCGAAAACCCAGTTCAAATGGTTTTATTTTAATAAAAGATGGTGAATGTATTTATCTTACTGTAAATAACAAGTGAAAAAATTTTCAGCCTTATCAGTTGGACATTCCGGTTTTTATACTGCTTTTTTTTAATTCACTAACGCTCTAAAAATGAATATTTCAGCCGCAGTAAAGAATCAACGTTGGCGGATTTTGGTTCTTGACATCCTTTACGATCGGTTACGATGCCTAGAGTACGGAGACCTGTACGATTTCGTCAACTTAGTGAGTTTGATAGGGGCCGTATAGTGGGACTTCGGGAAGCTGGACTTTCTTTTCGGGCAATTGCAGTTAGAGTGCAAAGAAGTGTAGACACTGTGGTTAGGTGTTGTCAGGCATGGCTTCGAGAAGGTCGTACGCAAAGAGCAAGGGGCACTGGACGCCGCCGTAGAACAACAGACCGTAAAGATCGCCGCCTAAGATTATTGGCCTTAAGGGACCGTTTCTCCACTACCAGGTCCATTGCAAATGAATGGTTTGCAGAACACGGAAGACCTTTTGGCATGCGAAGTGTTTACCGACGAATGAGAAGTTTTGGCTTGTTTTCATACCGGTCACACTGGGTCCTCCCTTTAACTCGAGAACACCGACGTAATCGCCTTGAGTGGTGCAGACAACGGTCACTCTGGGCTCAGGAATGGAACAGTATTGTCTTTAGTGACGAGTCTCGATTAGGCATGCACGATGGTCATGCCAGGGTTAGAAGGCGACGTGGTGAAAGGAGGAATCCACAGTTTTTTGTTGAAAGACATGTTCATCACACTGTTGGAGTTATGGTTTGGGGTGCTATAGCTTATGGTTCCAGGTCACCTTTAATCTTCATCAGAGGTAACATGAACGCGCAGCGTTATATCCACGAAGTTCTAGAACCCCATCTTTTACCCTATCTTGACACCCTGGCAGATCCCACTTTCCAACAAGATAATGCCCGACCACATGTTGCAAGAGTCACAATCATTTTGAAATTTTTATCATTTACTTATTATGCTTCATTAAGTACTTATACAAAATTTTATTAAAATAAAACCATTTAAACTGGGTGTTCGGATTTATACATATGTCACTTAGTATATTTACCACTTGTGGCCGTTTTTTAAACATGCTGTTGAATACGGATAAAATGCGTGAATTATTGAAAATATCGGCATTCCATTAATTAGAAAGCTCTGACGGGTCAAACCCACATGCTGGTTGCCGAGTGAATAATAAGCTGCCTTCCTTCTCTTTCTAATTGCTTTTCTTTTGATAAACAAAACGCATACCAGATGTAAAAAATTTCAAATCAGTAGCACCATGACTACATTGCCGCTCTTAAAGGATCGATAACAATTTTTTTTAATTTCCGCGCCTACTGGCGAGAAAGTACTGTTAATCGCAAAAACAAAGTCTTTATTAATATATGTTTCTCGGATGTCGCAAAACCTCACTGTGGAGAACAGGGAAGCTGACGTGGAGCCCATAAACAAATACAACGAAGCGGTTTGCAATACCAAAAACCAGGACGACATAAAAGTTAGGCCTAGGGTAATGTCGCAGCAGATTGAAAGGAACTTCTCACAGAGTAGCCTTCCACCACTTTCGTGTCAGGATGGAACTATTGTAACCCACTCGATGGCTAAGGCGGAAGCGCTTGCTAAGATCTTTGCTACCACCTCCACCAACGTCGATTCAAAGGGTTTTCTACACTATGCGGGAAGTAACATTCAGGCATAAGACCGTAAGGCGAGTGCTCTTGTTGCTCGACATCAACAAAGCTTCTGGTCCGAACTTGATTTCTGCGTTTTTATTGAAGAGGTGTGCAGCGGAGCTTGCTCCAGTTCCTTCGCGTCTCTTCTAGATATCTTATGAATCCGGCATGTTCCCAGAAAACTGGAAACTTGCTCGTGTCCAGCTCATACAAAAAAAGATTGACCCTTATGCCGGCCACAGACTATCAGGTAAACCTGACAGTTACGCATGTATGCATTTTGTAATTTTTGCGACACGTAAAAACAGACGGAAGAAACGCAAACAATGGTGTAAGGAATGGTTGCAGAGAAGAAATAAATTTACCCATATAAATCTCCTTAATGAATTAAGACATGAACCATCTGATTATAGCAACTTTCGGCGCATGAACGAATCAGTGTACAACGAGTTGCTGTCACTTGTATCTCCCTTGATTAAGAAGAAAGATACACAAATGAGAACAGCTATATGCCCACACGAAAGACTGACAGCTACTTTGAGATTCTTAGTAACTGGACAACCGTATGAGTGTCTAAAATATTCAACTAGGATTTCACCACAATCTCTTGGACAAATTATTCCTGATACATGTGTGGCCCTGTACAAGGTTCTGCAGAAATACATTAAGGTATGTCCTCTATTTTGTTCTTTTGTATTAAATTTTTAAACTATCAAATAGTATGTTTAACAATAAGACACTATTTTAATAATAATAAGAATGGAAAAAGTGGAAAGTAAACTTTTAATATATTTAAACAAACTTTTTATTTTCATATTTACTCATTCAAAAGTTTCAGTGAAATTTGACAAAAAACTTGATGCTGTTTTTGTATTGTTGTGAGAAGTTGGGTTTTGTTCTTGTTGTGTGAATGGTGCGTGATATTGTGGACTTGGTGTGGGAGATGGTGTGTAATGTTGTGGACTTGGTGTGGTAGATAGTGTGTAATGTTGTGGACTTGGTGTGGGAGATGGTGTGTAATGTTGTGGACTTGGTGTGGGAGATGGTGCGTAATTTTGTGCACTTGTGAAAGTGGATGTGCAGGCGTTTATCTTTTAAGCCCCTCATTTTTATAGCTACTGTTCGCCCCAAGAGCTCGCAACAGTCGATTTGTGGTTGCGGTCGTTTGAAATGATCGCGAACAGTAGACAATATCTCAGCTGATATACCATCATTAGATTTCCTCTTTATACTGGGCCCAGGTCGTGAAATCCCAGCCGACGCCGCAGGTAGATTCGATTCCCGCCGCTCTTCTTGAGAGACAGTGGGTGTCAATTGGTTTTCCTCTGGAGATGGGTCATCAATGTTCACCTAAAATCAAAATACAGTTTAATTTTGCCGATTAAAACATTATTTTTATTTTTCAGTTTCCCAATTCTACAGAAAAATGGAAAGAAATATCGATGGAACTATCCACACTGCATAGGCGCCATGGATGGCAAGCATATTGATATAATTCCCCCAAGAAATTCGGGCTCTTATTATTTCAACTACAAAGGAAAGCATAGTATGGTTCTTCTTGCTATTGTAGATGCAAACTACCGATTTCTCCTTGTGGATTTCGGAACTAATGGCCGCGTATCCGACGGCGGTGTACTCCAAAATACACGTATCTATGAAAAATTAGTGGAGAAAAATCTACATATTCCTCCGCCTGACGACGTAACTGAAAATTTTAAAAATGTCCCCTATGTTTTTGTTACGGACGATGCATTTCCGCTGACAACTGAAATTTTGAAGCCATTCAGACAGGCATTTCTTGATTCTGCAAAAAAAGAGGTTTTTAACTATCGTATAACTCGCGCAAGGCATATAGTTGAAAACGTATTTGGTATTCTTGCATCGAGATTTCGTATTTTTCATACGGCAATAAATTTAGAACCACAAAATATTGAAAAGGTTGTGATGGCAGCTTGTGCTCTGCATAACTTTTTGATGGATAAACAGCCTACAGTTTATGCCCCTGCAAATTGTTTGTATCAAGAAAGTGATCAAGATGGAAATATTTTGTCTGTTGGCTGCGATAGTACACAATCTAATATGAATCCACTACAATCTTGTAATCGAGGAAATATTTGTGAAAATGCCAATGAAGTTAGAGAACAATTCATGGATTACTTTATGGACGAAGGGAAAGTGCCATGGCAAAATAAACACATACTGAGGAACAACCAGAACTAATGAAATAAAGCGTTGTAGTAAAGTGTGGAATGCTTTCTAAACTAACACTTTTATTTACCTACCTAAGTAAAAATAAACTCAACTAAACAATTATTTATATACAGATTTAAATAAACATTGTCAAAAATAATATTTATGTTTTCCTTACCTCATCATTGTCCCTTTCAGGAGATAAATTTGAGACCGATGATCTAGGATTATCTTGGTCCTTTATGAAATCAAAAAGTTCGAAGTACCAAAGAGAAGGTTTGTATACATTATCTGCTGAGGCGCCAGATTTCATTGAGGAGTCAATTTTCTTCTGCTTCTTTCGAACATTGGATCTCAAACTGTTGATTTTTTTTAACCAAGGTCTCGTTTGCATCAGGCTCTATTTCCTTCAATTTGTTCACTAATTTTCTGTATGCAGCATCTCTCTTGTTTCTATTGCGATAGTCATTATCTTGCACTTTCCACAAGCAAGGTTCATATTTATAAATTTCAATAAAATCACTAAGAACTTCATTATTCCGTTGCGACATTTTTCAGTATCTACCTAAAACTTTTGAAAATTTAACCTGTCCACATCAAAGAATTGCTAAAAACTGAGACCTGTTCAGGTTACACCGCCACACACATGTCAAGTCTACTCGCCTGTCAAGCAGAACTGATCGAATTTTAATCAGTTGTCAGGTCGCCTGACAGGCTAGATATTCCCGCCACACACTATAAGGTACACCTGTCAGGAGTAACTGTTCAGGCGTACCTGTCAGGTGTACCTGATAGTCTGTGACCGGCATTACAACTACAGGCATATAGTTCTGATATCTGTTATAGCTAAAATGATGGAGAGGTGCATAAATCGCGAGCCTACCTCGAACGTCACAACTTGGTTAGCTACAGGCAGTATGGTTTCCAGCACCAACGATCCGCAGGGGACCTCCTACCTTACGTCACGTAATCATGGAGTAAACTCATCATCCAGTCTTATGGTGAGGCTCATGTCGTTGCTCTTGATATCACGAAAGTGTTCGATCAACTGCCCTCTTATGCAAACTTCAATCCTATGGCCTCCCAGAGAAGCTTTCCAGATGGGTGGGTGCCTATTCGTCGAAATTCTCATCTTCATCTTACAACGTCAACGCGAGCATTCCCCAGGACAACATATTCCTATTCCTTGTATTCAGTTGATTTATGTCACTACATCGTGTTAACTTATTATGCAAATATTGTGGTTGTTTGGTAGGTAAGACCTTATGTGTGAGTGTCAATAAGTGAAGCTTTTGCATGCCTTTAATCTACAGAATACCAAGTTCCTTCAATTTATGAGAAATATGATCAAACTTTCGTATTCCGCAAGAAAATCTGATGCACGAATTCTGAATACGCTGTAATTTGCTTTGTTCACTATATGATAGAGCTGCGCCATATATACTGTCACAATAACTGATCTTTGATATAATTAATATTTAACACAGTTTCAGCTTTACTGAAGTAGATATTATTTGCCTATGTGGATAAAACTGTTTCAAAATGCAGTATGATGCACTACATAATGAATTTACGTGTTTTTTGTATTTTAGTTCTGTGTCAATCCAGAGTCCCAGGTTTATACACTCATTCATTATAGGAAGCCGGCAATCGTAGATTTTAAGGTTAATTTCCATTTCGATCAATGTTCTTTTGTTTTTTGAGCCGAAAACCATAACTGAAGATTTAGATGGATTAATTTTTAGGTTATGCGAGCACGAGATGTCTACTAGCCTTGTTAAGTCTTCGTTGAGCAATGCTTCTGCAATTTTAAAATCTTTGTGTTGGAAACTCAAATAAATTTGAGTATCATCAGCATAGAGATGGATTGTGCAATTATGGACATACCTATTGATGGAAATCCGATATATATAGAGAGAAAAGTAAAGGTCCCAGTATGGAACCTTGAGGAACACCAAAACTAGCAGTTGACTGTGACATTTTCGAGCTGTTAAGACCTTTTGATTTCTATTTGACAAATAGCAGCTTATCTAATTGACTGCAGCATTACTAAAACCATAGTAAGACAGCTTAAGTAGCAGAATTTCAGGGTCTATCATATCGAACGCTTTTGTGTAATCCAGCAGAACTAAACAAGTGATATTTCCTTGGTCAAGGCCTCTTATAACATCATCAGTGACATTGGCTAGAGCAGTTGTTGTACTATGGTTTTCCCTGAATCCAGACTGCATTGATGGAACTATTTCATTACTGAAAATATACTGAGATATTTGTATCTTCATTTCCCATTCCAAAAGCTTTGAAAATGCGGGAAGTAAGCTGACTGGTCTAAGTTGCGTTACAGACGTAGGAATCGCTACTTTAGGAATAGGTATGATGATAGCCTGCTTCCAAGCATCAGGGAAACAGGATGTTGATATTGCGTGATTGATTATAAATGTAATATGGTCTAAGAGCAAAGTGGAAATGTATTTTATCATAATGAGTGAGATTCCATCAGCCACTACAGCATTAGTTTTAATAAATGAGAAACTCTTCGCAACAGATTCTTTGGCAGCCTTTTGGAAACAGAATGACTTCAGAAACTTATTGTTTTGATATTTGTTCAGTAGTTCTAATTGCTTTTGTGTCTTGGTTATGATCGGAATATTTGAGAAATATGAATTTATTTCATCTGCGTTATTGAAGCTATCTGGAAGAGTATTTATAGAGGACTTAATTATATTAAGTTTCCTAAGAGAACTCCATATTGCTTTACTGTTCCTCCCAGATAGGATATATTCCATATAAGCCTTTTTCTCTCTCCGCAGAGCAGCAGCAGCGTAATTACGGAGTTCTTTATATTAGTTCCAGTGGGCAGTTGACTTACTTCTTTTAAACGATACGCTTTATCTCTAGCTTTATTGATCATTTTGATATTGTATGTTAGCCAAGGAGCTGGTGGCTTAGTAACTCTAAGTGTTCTCATAGGTGCACAATTATCAAATGAATTTAGTATGTTGCTATTTAAAAAATTTACCATGTCATTAACGCTATTTAATTGAAAAATATCATCCCAATGAGTCGAATGAAATAAATCATAAAAGGTACGTTCATTAAACTTACGAAAGTCCCTAAACGTGTAAAACTTCTGCGTCCGGTTGCTTAACGTTTTATGGAGGTGACAAACAACAGCTGAATGATCAGAAAACTCATGAACTGGTACAACATTGCAGTTTCTTACATTTTCTCCATCTGAGCAGATAATAACATCTATCAATGTTTGTGAGTGGCTTGTAACTCTCGTGTGAGCATCTACTACCTGCTTCAAATTGAAAGACTCTAAAAAATTTAGCATAATATCCGTAGCCGATGAATTAATCAATAAATTTATATTGAGATCACCTAGAATTACAACAACATCCGCAGATGGTAATAATATAGATAAGGTATTTTCTATACTGTCAAATGTTTGCAGAATATTGGAACAAGGAGGTCGATACAATGCACCGAAGGTATACGTTTTGCCATCGAATCTGAAACTGATCCATTGCTCTTCCAAAAGGGGATCAATATTTGTACGGAGCAACTTGAATTTTATGTGTTCTTTTAGAAAGAAGCCGACACCTCCCCCTCTACCGCTTCTGTCCGCATGTACAAAATTGTAATTGGGAATACGGATGGTCGAAGATCCGATATCATCATTCAACCAAGTTTCGGTGACTGCAAATATATCGAAATTTTCAGAAATCACAAAATCCTGGAGTAGACAGAATCCTGACAAAAGCGATCTAACATTAAGATGACCAACTTTCATGTCTTACATGTAAATTAATGTCTATTGGATAGTAAAGAAATAGTATAAAAAAAATAAAAATAGTCAGTCCACACTACTCAATTATTCTAAGGAGTACGTATATATGTATTCTACAAATATATATACATATATATACATATATGCATACACACAAATATACACACATATATATGGTGATTTGTTCCAAAACTAGAAATAAGAATGATAAAATGAAAGGTTTGGCGTATAGTTAGATTTTAGAATATTGTGTGACTAAAGATGATGTAAATCAGTATATGAATTTATTTTAATTTATTTCTACCAGAGGAAGATGAAGAAGATGCTGATCTTGTTCTCGCAGCTTCTGATTTTTCAGCGGCTTGTTGATTCAAGTCGTGCTTGGCTTTCTTAGCTGGCGGTTTCACAGGAGAACAGCTATCACGTGCTGTATCAGAGTTAAGGGCTGATGGTTGCCCTGTTATTGTTTGTTGAGAAGATACGTGAATACTAGCAACTTCCGATACAGGTGTAGTTGGTTGACTTGAACTTTGATTGTCGTTCACCTGAGCTTCGAAGTCCGATCGGTCTTTCGAAAAGTGTGGATATTATGGAACCGTCTTTTCTAAGTTCTACTAACCTTAGGCACTTCAAAAATAGGATTCTTTGGGATCCTCATATCAGCCGCGATGTCCTGGTATTTAGGCTTCTACCTGCGCGGCTGTTTCGACGTAAAAAAATCACGAAAGGCCATGTCACTCCTTTCCGTCGGTCTACCTGTGTGTCTGTAGGTCTGTCCGTTAATCCTTGGCCCATCTATAATTTGGAAAGTAAAAGCTTTCCAGTTTTTGGAAAGCGGTCCAGTGGCGGCCGAGCTGAAGGCAGGAGATGACCAAAATGAAAATTGCTCAAAATTCGTTTTATTACGTTTCAGAGGCTCCTGGCCATTAACATAAAGCAAAATTTCGTGAGGGCTAAAAGTTTGGGGTTAGGGGGGTACGAGGGATGTCTTTTAAGTTTTGCATCTAGAAACATAGTTTTTTTTTTAGTGGTCCTAGGGGGACCGGGAGGTGGGATCCATTTTACGGACCCCATACGCCGTGGTTCCAGCGCTCATGGGAGTGTGGGACTCCAGCTACATTCTAGTAGACTGACTACCCACTAAACCACCTCCTCTGGCTCACGACTACATCCGGTAGCACCACTTGTTGCGGCATGTCTTCAGATGCATTCGCAGCGGATATGCTCGTTTCTTCTGCTAGTGCAAGATGTCGTCCCTGCGCTTTGCGTTCATCACATTACGAACGAACCTCTGTATTGTGTTCCAGTTCTCCTTACTTTTCATCATGAGTATGGTGATGCTTCTGCTATTGACCTCCGCACCGATAACTGACTCTGTATTGCTCCTCGATTGCGGCACATCTTTGACACACAAAGGTTGTGTGCACCGCAGATGCTGCCCTCCGTGATTCCCATTCTTTTGGTGTAATCCCCAAAGTATCCATGGCCCGATAGAAACTGGGTCAAGTAGAAGTCTAGCCTTCGATGTTTACAGCTAACCCACTGTCTTACGTCCGGGATCAGAGTCTTGCTCCACATTGCCGTCTCTGAGTGGTCGCTCCACACACGCTGCCATTTCTCGAAAGTTGTGCTTCTTTCCAGCAACCTGGTAGTACGAAGCTTAGCATCATCCCTGCTGTACAGGCGGAGCCTTTCCTCTATGAGCAGAGTGACTGGGGGTATTCCGGCTATTACTTGAGCGGCCATAGTGGACATTGTTCTGTAGCCGCTCGATATCCGCAGCAAAGCCTTCCTCTGGATACTCAAGAGCATTTGTCTATATCTCTGGACTTGGACCACACGGTGCCATACAGGAGCTGCGTACAGGACCACGGAGTGGATTACCTCACAAAGGACCGTCCTTTTAGGGCTACTTGGACCTCCCATATTTGGTAGTATTCTTGATAGCTGGGCCATCCTAGCATCTACCTTCCTGATGACTTGACGAACGTGCTCTCCAAACTTTAAGTTGCCATCTAACACGACTCCCTGGTACGTGAGGTGTCTCTTTGTCACTATCTTCGTGCCAAGGAATTGGAAATTCACCGAGCTCTTCTTGAGGGATCCCTTCAGTATGTA